AATAGCATGAATGCTGTCGTGAGGGAAAATAAAAAGCATGTTGATTTCATCAGTCCAAGTTTTGAAATAGTCTAGATTTAGAGGGCTAATAGAGGAAGGAGCCTGCCCTCGTAGAATTCCAATTGTTTCACAATCATTTTTTAAATTTTGAATAAACAACATAAATTAATTGGTATTAGGAAGGTGCTCTTTTTAATATGCAAATATATTTGCTTTTTATTTTAAATTTTTATTTTACCAATCAAAGTTTCCCCTCCTTCCTCTCCTCTTGTTCCTTCCACCCACAAGAAGGTGCTTTTTTTTATCATTTAGTGTTAACTGTTCAACTAGAGAGTAAGGTTAATTCATTTCAGAAAACACATAATGTCAGCCTGACTTTACCACATACTTTCCAGAACAAAAAACAAATATAGGTTGTCAATTTGGAAACATTATCTCTAAAATGTTCTGGCTATAGAAATATTAAACCAAAATGTCAAAGTTATGTGGCTGTATCCCTCTCCCTCCCTCCCTTCCTCCCTCCCTCCCTCCCCACTCTGTGTGTGTGTGTGTGTGTGTGTGTGTGTGTTTGTATGTGTGTGTATTTCTAAGACATATGTTAATACTGATTCAATACAAGCCATGTAATCCAACCTGCTATTCTTATGTTTGAATTCTGTATCTATAAAGAAAAATAAAGGAGTCTCATGAGTCCTCCAGCTATGAAGTTTTGCAAATGTAAGTTATTTTGGTGGACCATTTGTTGTGTGGTTGCTTTTTATGACATGATCACTGTCATTATGAAAGTACACCAGCCCCAGGCTGTGTGCATAGAGCAACAGCCACTTCTGCTGCACACAGTGTGGGCCCTGCAGCTTCTTTTGCTGCACACAGTGTGGTCCTTCAGCTTCTTCTGGTCACACAGTGTGGATCCTTCAGCTTCTTTTTCTGCACACAGTGTGGGTCCTTTAGCTTCTTCTGGTACACACAATGTGGATCTTTCTTCTGGTGCACAATTTGAATGCTTCTGGTGCACACAGTGTGGATCCTTCTTCTGGTGCACACAGTGTGGATCCTTCAGCTTCTTATGGTGCACACAGTGTGGATCCTTTTATCTTCCTCATTGAAGTTTTTCTGCAGGCTATTTACTTCCTTGCAGTATTTGCTAATACAATTTCAAGTACCTGGACAGAGTGGCAGAAGATGACATGCTAGAGATTGACCCTGTGATTAAGCAGTGCACAGGAGGGTTCCATTCATACAAGGTCTGGTGGTTTACTTGCAGTGTATACAGCAGTTAACAAAGGGTGTGTTCTGAGCATTAATAGAAATTTAATGAATGACTGTTTTGTGATCCACCAGTCTCACCAGATCCTTGAATCTTTTATATCAACTAGAAAGGTCATTATACTCTTCTTGTGTTCCATGTTTTGTGATCTTGTCAATTCGCTATGCATTTGCATTTTGTAAGGCTCATACTAAGGTATTCTAAAACATTCTTGTGCAAATGTTGACATAGTTGCTAAAATTTAAGGATTTAGTAATATAAACTGAATTAAGTTGGTTTCATATTTGGTACTTTTAGATGACAAAATCTAGGGTGAGCTTTACTAGTTTCTTTCAATTAAGCCATCCACCCTTGCAGTAAAGAAACAATACAAAATATAATGGGAATGGTCTCTTAGATCTCAGTAGGTAACTCTCTCTCTCTCTCTCTCTCTCTCTCTCTCTCTCTCTCTCTCGTGTGTGTGTGTGTGTGTGTGTGTGTGTGTGTGTGTGTGTGTTGCTCTAGGGTAGAATTATGATCTAGGGAAACTGATACATGATACCATTGTCCTTAGCATGATCTTGAGCACGATTTCCTGTACATATGCCATGAAACATCTTTGCTGCCTTTCACTGGATTATAGTTTCAGCCACATTAAGGTCACCACATATGTTCAAATAACCGAAACTGCAAAGGCAAACCATGATTGATTTTTGTTCCTTCTTCACTGTATAAAACTGCTTTTGACTTCAAAGAGTTATCTTAGCCGAGAACAGAGGATGGAGCAGGAACCTGAGTCGTGATTCATGGGAGTATATGGAAGTGAATGATTAGTTCATGTGCCTCTGGTCTTCAGTGATGTCATAAATCCTGCAGAGGTTCTTTAACGTCAGGCTCGATGCCTGCCTCTGTCAAACCTCATATAGACTAGCATATATTATAAACTGAGAAATCTAGGGGATGAACAAAAATTCCTTTCCCCAGTCATTCATTTTTTAGAGATGTCACATTGACAGGCCGATAGAGGATGAAAGCATAATGCTGCTCTCTTTTAGCCATAAAAGCTAAATTTGCATATTCATAAACACCAAGACCCTTCACATATGGCAAAACGCACTTTTAAAGCAAGAGACAAAATGCTAATTGATGATAGTCTAAGACCTATCTGTGACTTCTCGAGTCTCCAAACTAGTTCATTCCCCAAATGAAAATGTTAAGGTGCATTGGTTCTTAGACTAACAAGAAAGGCCGGGCATACCTCGAAAAGCCAGGCAGGAGGCATACCTCGAAAAGCCAGGCAGGAGGCCTCCCACCGTGCTGCTTAAATCAGCGATTTTACAGCAGTGCTTCTCTCCCCAGGATAATAAAGCTTAACATGTATATGTGCTGTTTCCTTTGCTTTATACATTGGAAGCTGAAGGATCTTCTCTCAGGGAGTTAATATCCACCAGTTGAAAAATTATTTTCTTCCCTTCATCATTCTTCAGGAGAGTTTTCTAGAACACTGAACATACAATGTATTTAGCTGGCTTCTACCAAACATAAAGCAATCCAAAAACAAGGAAGAACACTCATTACAAGTTAAGGGTGAATATAAACAAATTGAAATTAAGGCCCACCCATAATGTGGGGATCCCTCCTTGATAAGCCATGGGAAGCCACCCTCATTGTCAGAAATGTTAGAGGTGCAAAAGTCAGGGCCTCCATGCAGATTCCAACCCTCTCTCTTCCAGCATTCTTGAGTCCTGTATCTACTAGCTGTTGCCGTCTGATAGTGTGGCATTTCTCCCATGGGGCCCTAGAAGGGCAGCCAAAAACAGGAAACTGAGCCAGGTTCTACCTTCATGAAATGCCACAAATCACTTCCTTCTGAAGCCAAAAGAACTGAGAGTTTCTGCCACCCCTTCTGCTGACAGCTGCAATTATTATAAAAGAAACATCTTCACCTCCTTTCAGGATTTGTTCAAATGTGCAGTGTGTAGTATTCAGGGGTGTCCATTTGTATTACATTCTGAATGCATATCTTTAGAGAGAATTATTTTGCTTTGGAGAATAGGAGGGAGGTGGGGGAAACAAGCGTGTGGTAAGCTAGCCAATCTCAGTCACTTTAGGGGGAAAGCTGTACAAAGCAATAAAGACATATCATGCCTTCCGGAAAGTTAAAGGATTTTAGAGGTAAAACCAGAACCAGTTGCCATGGCAGTTGAGGTGTGACTCCTTTTCCGTTTGGGCAGCTCTGTTCGACTAGTGTAGATTTCAGACCTGGCCTCCTACTGCCCTCAGTCATGGTGAGGGGAGATTTGAAGGGTTGTTGTCAGGCATTCTGGAAACTTGCACTTTCTTACTTGTAGAGAAGATTCAGAGTAGAGGGCATTTAGCGGATTGCATACAGTCCCCAGCCCCCATGCACATACGTGTGTCGCCTGCCGTGTGCTGCTCACCGTACCTTCATGCGGCTCCTTTTTAACAAGTGTGGAACCAGGCTGGGCTCATTGTTTTCACTCAGAAGTATTTATGTAGAGACATGTCTCTGATGCTTGCATAGATGCCCATAAGTGAGCAAACTGTGTTCTTACACAACCCAGGAACTCTTGCCCAGTGGTAGCACTTACCCACAATGGGCTGAGCCCTCCCACTGAATCATTGGTCCAAAGATTCTTTCTCATCTCATCCTTCAGACTCATTTCTGCCACTCAGGCATATTATCTGCACCACAGTCAACCCATGCTTGTGTGTATGCAGTGTCTCCTGCATGATGGCTCGCCTTCTCCCTCAACAGCAGACACCCAGTTCAAAAATGTATTGTTCCTTAAAATAATTTGTTTGACCATATTTAGGCCTTCCCTGGTTGAAAGTTGAAATTCTTTTAGTAGTTTCTGTGGCTGTGATAAAAACATTAAATAAAAACATTAACCTAAACCAACTTGGGGCAGAAGGGGTTGGTTTGGCTTACAGTTTACAGGTACCATTGGGGGGAAGCTGCCAAGGCAGAGAACTGAAGGCAGGAACTGAAACACAGGCCATGGGGGCGCTGCTTACTGGCTTGCACTCCATGACTTACTCAGCTTGCTTTCTTATTTGCCCCAGGGCCACTTGGCCACTACCCACAGTGCGATGAACCCTCCACTTAATTATTAATCAAGGAAATGCCCCCCCCAGAAACATGTTCCCAGGCCGATTGGATGGAGATAGTGCCTCGGTTGAGGTTCCCTTTTTCCAGGTGACTCGAGTTTGTCTCAAGTTGACAAAAGCTCACCAGTCCACCTATGTGTGCATTGAGAGGATCCCAATGATTGCCACAGGAGGCAGGCAACCCCTTTATAGTGCTTGTGTTGAATTTTGAATGTCAGAAACCTGACTCAGATAAGTAAAGATTCTACTTGGGAAATAATCTTGTATATGTAATTAGGCAAATGTTTGTTTTTTGAGCCTAGAACTCAGTGTCAAGAAAAGTTTCATCTTCAGCAAGTGCAATGGATAGTATCTTTAGAATTGAAAGGTGTAAGGAAAAATACTTTATATGTGTGGCTCTGGATATATCTAACCGATCTATGAACTGTAAAACTGGTAATGACAGTAAGCTGATATGGAAAAGCACTTAGGGCTCAATGTTAGTCAGTTCTTAGATCTAAAATATGTGCTGAGCTAATTTGTGGTTAGCATTGTGATGAGCCACATTAAGTGTTAGCTGGCTCCTGGCATGCTGCAGATCCTCCCTTTCTTCCCCTTCTTCATGCTCACTCTTCTCCCTCAGGGAAAGCACAGGCTCCATGTGGACACTGGAATGGAAGGCAGCTGGTGTGGTCTTATCCCTGTTGGACAGCGTTGCAGCCAGGTGACAACAACGGGCCTGAAATGGAACCTGAGTGAGTAAAACCCTTCTAGAAAGGGAGGCCTTTCTTTTTCCATTTGTGAGAGGGTGTTTGTGTGTTTTAATCAGAGATGGCTTTGAAGACATGAGCCTCTGGGTCAGCCTCCTGCTCACAGGCATCTGCGCCACGCCTAGCAGTTTTCATCCTTCATGTCTTTGATGTTCACATGAGTAACCCAAGGATGAACTACTGACAGGCTGTTTGCTGCAGCCCCTGTGCTAGCGTCAGTTCCCACCGCCACCATCTCAGTCATTTATGCTTTTCATTTCCTGTTCTGTTGTGTGGCTTGGAGCCTTAGGAGGTATACTCCTAATTTTGACTTGTTTTATGATGATGCCCTAGCATCTCTTCCCTAAGCTATATGGAACATTTGTATATCTTCTTGGAGAAAATAATATAACGTCTTTGCTCCTCTACTCGCCCAGCTGTTCCCTTTGTCCTGGAGGTGAGTCCTTCACAAGCTCTGGTTATGAGTCCTTCATCAGATATGTGGCTTACAGATGTTTTCTTAGAATCTTGCCTTGGATTTTTATTTCCTAAAACTTGACTCGCTAAATGAATTCTGATGAAGTCGGGTTTTTTTCTTTTTGTTTTATGCCTCTTGATGCCCTGCTGTGATGTCTAGAAACATCGCTTCATGTACAGGAACCATGCTTTACTTTTTAGAAGCAGGTGAAGTTCTGAACTTGCAAGTGGTTTTCATAGCCAAATCTTTGAGCTCTCACAGCTTAGCTTCTGTTATTAAATATTTAAATGTTTTCCAAAAATTACGAGCTGCCTTAATCTAGTCAAAAACTTCCTGACTTGAAGAAAAAAAAAAAACAGAATGTGGAATCCGTTCATTCAATAAATGTTGATTAACCCTTCAAAAAGAAAGAAAGAAAGAAAGAAAGAAAAGAAAAACTGCCAGACGTGGAGTCACTCAGCCTTGATTAACCACAATCTATCTCAGGCTAAGAAATATGTACAACCATGTCATTCTTTTCTAACATGTTTACCTCTGAAATAGTTTGAAGATAAAAAGATTCGTTTTTAATCCTTCCTATAAGTCAGTGATGAAACAATTAGGAAAACTGGAACTGCTTTGAAACTCACCTAGAGACTTGTCAGTTTGAAAAGAGAGCAGGTTTCCTTCCTGCCCCTAAGTGTCTGATGGCTTTGAAGCTGTTCATCTGAAGCTGACATAAGCTCCCATTAGAAGTCTTTTGAAAACATTGCAACCTAAATCAACTATTTTAGTTCCTGTATTTCCCATTGCTTACAAGGATCTGAAGTAGGCAGCAGTAAGCTCTCTCCCAGGTCTAGTGGTATCCAGACTTTCCAGTGCTGGCACCAGGAAGGATCAAACATCAAGCCAAGAGACAGATGGCAGAGAGGTGCTGTAGCCCATCTAGTCCTGGTGGTAATGGGAATCATTGGTCCAACTGTAGTTCCCCTGAGCTCTTCAGAACACCGTTCATCCTCTGGTTCCCACAGCACCGTGTACACACCAATTCCAAAGAGCAGTATAATTCCAAAGAGAAGGGTATAATCTTTGATCTTGCCTGAATGCAATATGCCATTATTCGTTTGTTTGGTTATAGGCTTCTTTGAGTTTTGAAATAATTTTCTCTGCATCTTTATTATAATAAATGAACTGCTGGGCATGATTGAGTACATCTGTAATCCCTAGCATCTAGGCATCCTAGGAAGGATGATTGCCACTAGTTTGGGGCCAGACTGAACTAACTGACTAGTATCAGGCTAATAAGAGTTAGATTGCCTCAAAATACATTCAATACCCAGCAACTACTAAGAACATACAAAGATTCAGACTTGGAATTAACTTTCAAGAAAATTCTTGTTCTAGGGGCTTCTAACATGGGTGGTATTTAAAAGCAACAAAAGAAATATGATGGTATATGTTGTCTATAGAGAAGTGGGTTGATTTTGTTCACATATGCCCCTGTTTTACGAAGTTCCACACACTGATAGGTCACCATTGTTCTGTCACAGCTACAAAGTAGGCTCCAACTCTGAGAAGAAAGAAAGATCTACAGTTGCGTAGTCCTTAGTCCTTCTTGCATCAGCCAAGAAAAGCAGCTTCTCGGGTGGGCACATGCCACCTCACAGTCAAGTGGTTTCATGCTTTCACCTGTCCATCTAACTCACTTTAAAGGTCTGGTGCCACAGGTTTCAAAAGTAGTTTAGTAGATCTTTTACCCACCTACAAACCTACACATCACATTTTCACATTTTAAAAAGTACAAAGAATACCTATGTATCATCTTCAAGAGCTGAAACTTTCCAAGTAGCACTTTTATTGCCTAACAGCATGATATCAGTGTTCATTGAATCAAGCCTTGCACAGGAATTGCTTAGACTCTAGGCCCTAGGAGAAAAAGCCATCTCATGGATCACTGCACCTTGGCCTTCACTGCAAGCACCATGCTGCCCTGTTACCATAGTGGACTCTGTTGCAGGAGATTTGTTCACACTAACACTCTGAGACTGCCAATAAAATTAAATGTTGAATCAAAGGACAGAGTCAACATTTAGCTGACGAGGATTAACCATAGAGTTTTTGGCAGACCCAGATTAGGATAGAGAGATGCAGAAAAGAATAGGGAGAGGCGTAGATTTGTGGCCTCTTTCAGTCCTGCAATCGTGGAGAGGCTGAGTCAGCTGATCATTTTTCCATTGCTCTATGGATCTATCAGGTTTTAACCCTAACAACTGACTCCTGGGTTTTATTTAATAATAGAACAATAAAAGTAATCGCTCAGGACTCTGCTCTTGAGCACACAAGTCCCCCTGTTCCAACTCCTTGAAATGCCCAAATTAAATCACTTTGAGGAGCTAGCACATGGGTGATATGTCTTTATGGCCTCTGCTGGCAAGCATGGTGGTTTTGTTTTATTGGCAGCTTCTGCTTCCGTTCTGTGCTCCTTCTACCTCATTTGCCCTTGAACTGCTCATTCATGGAATTTTGTCAATCCCTGATCATCTTTTCCCTGATATGAATCACCTTTTTAAGTGTGTGTGTGTGTGTGTGTGTGTGTGTGTGTGTGTGTGTGTGTGTACACGTGTGTGCACATGTGTGCACGTGCGTGCCAGAGTTTACATGCACCACCTGCATGCAGGTACCCAGGAGCCCATAGATGGCATCAGACCTCCCAGAACTGCAGTTCCAGGTGGTTATGAGCTGGATGTAGCTGTAAGCCAGTGAATCCAGGTCTTCTGCAAGAGAAGTAAGAGCGCTTAACCTCTGAGCCATCTCTACAGCCCTTTTGATCTTTTTGTTTTGTTTTGTTTTTTCTAAGTTCTTTTAGCATTTTCAAGTGTGTATATAATGAGTTTTGGTTGTTTTCACTGCCCTGTTTTCCCCTGTCTCGTCCCACTGCCTCTCCTGTGGGAAATCCTGCTCCCTCAACCCCAAGCTTCCCTCCTACTTTCTTGTCTTGGGCAATGGTGAGAAAGAGCAGGGACCGTTCATTTGGTTTTTGCATGAACATGAGTGGGGTTTGTTTACTGCAACTTACCTGTGGCTATACCACTGAAGACAAAGACAGCCTTTACTCAGCAAACACTAACTATTGTCCCTTAGTGAGGTGTAGGACCTCATGAGCCCCAGTCCTCTGCGTGATGAGATCCCTTGCAGGGAACTGAAATAAACTAAAAACAATAGGAGGTTGTTGTATTCAGAGAGGGAATCAAAGGAGCCAGGAAAGGCAGATGATGACTGGCAGAGGTCAGTAGGGACTAGTGTGACCACATGGAAGCCTTAATTGTAGCAAATGTCTACAGAAGAGCTAAATTTCAGGGATAATTTGAACTGACTTTACTTAGCTGTTGCACAAGGGAAACATCACTGGACACTGCTGGTACTCTTAAAATTCCTGTTTCAACCTTGAAGACACTGAGACTACTTTCTGAATCCTAAACGAAATCATGTCTAAAAGACCCTGTCACCCGGCAGATGCTCTGGTCCTCTGACTCTGCTGCTCATAAAGCCCTAACCGTCATTCCATGAACACTACCCCCTAAGAACACAGCACACCGACCTCTGCCTCCTGCAGCTTCCTGCTGTCCACACTCTCACTACTGTGTTTCCAATAAATGTTTCCCAAAACAACCTCAGGGTTCCCAAATCTCCTGTCTCCAAAGACAGTGGTTCTCAAACTTCCTAAAAAGAGCGTGGCTTCTGATGGGGGGCAGGGCAACTGGGAGGAAATGGAGGAAGCTAACCATAATCATAGCACATTGTGTTTTCTATAAACAAACAAACAAATAAGTAAATATATTTTCAATAAAAGAAGGAAGAAATAAAGAATAAGTGTTTAAGAAAAGAAAAGTGTAATGAAATTTTACATGTTAGAATGGTTGAAAGTTAGAAGATCAAATAACCGAGGAACTTCACTTACCAAACCCTGTGCGGACATACCAGTCCTTGCCATGAAGACTTTGAGAAGCTTTTGAAAGTGGACAGAAACATCCTTTATACATGAGTTTACATGTATAAATCTAATGTTCTGTGTGCGTGAGAGTGCCTTTGCGTATCTGACCGTGAGAAGATGTATGTTGACAGATATCCTTCAGTGGGTAATGAAGCCTGATCTGGACAACCTGGTTCTAGAGCAGCTTTAACCTTTAACCTGTTCTTGGTTTTGCTTGATTTGCAGCTCTGGGTACTTTTGAGTTTTAACTGCTGACCATGATACTTGGTTCCTATTCATATATGTCATGCAGCTTCTCATTCAAACAAAAAGGGGTTATTATGGCATGTAACTAGACTGGTTTCTGTCTATTAGCAGATTCATCTCATCAGCCCTGACCATGTGAGTGTCTGTTGTTGAACTCTCCTTTGGACTGGTGGTTTTATCTACTAGGTTTTCTCATTACTAACAGAAATTAAACTCCTGACATGTTTATCTTCATTTTTATTATTTTGCTCTTTAAAATTATTCAGTTGCACAACATATTACCAATACCACTTAGGATATTTAAAGTATCAC